ATCTTGTTTATCAGAGAACTCTTCAGTTAGCAGTCTTTACTCTCCCTCCTTCCTTGAAAGGTTTAGACCACAGTGTCACCCATGTCCATGTACCAACTCCATGTAGGCTGTCCTGCTTGGTAATAAATACTGACACATCCTTCTTTTAAATGATGCTTCTTCCTTTCCACCCAGTATGGGATTTGAATAGGCTTTTCTACATAATACAGAAGCTGTAGGTCGCAGGGCTAAATGCATTTGTTTCCATCCACCCTTGTCTTTGGTGGCAATGAGGTTATGATGACTTTATTCAACGAGATCTGTTTCATGTCTTTATAAGAAAGGCAGGCACAGCTGGCTTAGCCATAGATCTTTCAAAATTATGTGTGCGGTTCACAGCCAAGGTTAACTGTAATGCTTCTAATCGACTCTTAAACTGCTCAGAGAACTGAATACAGCCTTGCCACTGCCTGTTTATGAGTAACAAAAGATAGAAGAAATATTTCTTCCAAGAAATTGCTTGTGGGTACCAGGACAGGCACCAAAAATGCTATCCTGGTATGAATTCACAACAAAGGACCTGAATCTTGTCCAGACCAATGAAAACTGACAGACCTGTGCTGTTTTAGGGCCAGACTACTGTTGGTTACAAATCTCTGCCTTTTAAGTTCCAGAGTCCCTCCTGCCCATATTTAATTGGGTCTCAAAGACCTGAAAGTTTCAACTCGCTTTACACTGGTCTACATTTCATGAACTGTAGTTTTAACTGTCCCTGGTATTTTTTTGGTTTGCACTGAAGTGGGGCATGGTATGCTACTGATTTCATTAATTGCATTTTGTATTTGTTGCTGCTTTATGGCTTTTTACTAGAAAGGTTAAAAAAAGAAAATATTTCAGGTTAATAAATTTTACACCTACCTGGTGTAAGGCAAGGCCTTCTCAGGAAGATCAAAAAGTTACACTTTCTTTGCCCTGTGTGAAGAACCATTTTTCTGATGCAGCACAAACAATCTGACAGCCTGCACAAACAATCTGATAGCCTGGCTTCAAAATGTTGTAAAGTAGGGTTGCCATAGTCCAAGAGGTAAAAATCCGAAAAGTCATTAAGGGTTTTTTTGGAGCCCAGATCGCCCAAGCCAGAGCTGAACCAGGTGGGGTCAGACATGACTAAACGACTAAACAACAACAACCCTTTCAAAATGTGTCCTTGCCAAAGTAGCACACAAAATATAATAAAAACATATAATAAAAACCAGTTAGAGCAATGAAAACAAAATAGCAATGTAATCACTTCATTTTAAGCTATCCCTCCAACTAAGAGATCTAAATCTGCCAATAAAAAACTGGGGGGGAAATAATTTCACAATTCACAAGTACTGAAAAACATGCTGCAATATTATTATTATTATTATTATTATTATTATTATTATTATTCAATGTGTCATTTGACCACTCCAGGCCAATGTAGTAACAGACGAGTTAGGCCTGTCCAGCAACCACAGATCAACATAATCTTTGCCCAGACTGGAAAGTCAGTTACATGGTGGGTGGGAGTTGCTGCACTGACATTGTGCTTTGGAGAGCACCCAACCACCCTATAAGCAAGGTCATTTTAAAAAAAAGTTTATTCAGGGAGGGAGGGGCAGGAGACCTGGCACTCAGGCCCCCTGACCCACCCCCTAACAATGCCCCTGTTTGTAAACCAGGCTTTGCCAAAGAGAACTGCATTTCATAAAGCCGTCTTCTTAGCCAACTCTCTCTGTCATCTAAGCCAACCGAAATCTCAAAGCAGAGAGGAATAAATCGAGCACACACAGCCTTGGTTTGTGTCATCACTTCCACCTCTTTTCTAAATCAGTACCTTCCAATTGGCTGGACTTCTCTCCCTCGCCCTTTTGCAATTGGCTGCTGTCTGGCCTAAAGACTTTTTTTATAAAGTATGTAATTCAAGACTGCTCACCTGTAAAGCGAGGTTTGCAAATGCTTCATTGCAAATGCGTCGCAGCATCTTCTGCCCATGGTGTGAGCAAGGTCCCTTCCAGTGCTTCAAGGGCTCTTGTGTTCAGTTTGAAGCAGAAAGATGGACAGCAGCTTCCCCACTTCCTTGCTGGTGGTGGCAGGGCTACTGAGACTGGCTGGTGAGTAAGAGTGGTGGAGAAATTTGTTTTAATAAGAACCTTCAAAATTTGCAACATCTCCAAATTTGCCAATGCACTTCCGCAACCAAGGAATGCATACGAAAATGTGTAGGTTAGCAAAAGATGCACATGAAATTAGAAGAAATTACAAAAATATTTCTCATTAGGGGAAGCATTGCTTGCAAAGCATATACTAGGTAAAAATACATACTGAAATGTGCATGTTAGTGGACATGCAGAAAAACACGTGCAGATTTTAATGCAGTTTTCTTGTTAAAAGTTACAAACTGTTGTAGAAATGGGGAGAACTGAACCCAAAATTGGAAAAAAGAAACAGAGAAACTGAAATGAACATACTTGTCCATGCCTCACTTCTTGTTTCTCTGTAGGCTTATTTCAGCTACATAACTGTCACAACTCAGCGCTTGAATTTGCTATTATTATATACAATATGATATTCATCCATTCAGCCATCTGTGGAGCGTTCATTTGCCTTGTGTGTTTGCAATTAGCAGATGCAGTGCTAATTTTCTCCAACAGTTTTCTGCCCTCTTGACTTGAACTCCTGATCTTGATCTCCGCTGTAGCATGTTCTCTGTGTCCCACAGGGTGAGACAGCTAGCAGATTTGCTGATCTCAGAAGTCACCGCTTGAACACTGTTTACATTTTTGCAAAGTGCACATATTCCACTTGTCCCTGCTAATGGCATACACCTGGATTTCTGGGAGCACAAATGTGAAGCCTTGGCAAAATGCACTGATGCGCTTTTTCGCGCAGCAGAGTTTAACCTTCTAATCATGAGGCTCAATGAAGACCTTGGGGATGTCAACAGCTGCTACAGTAGCAGATGTGTGATACGGGGGGGAAAGAGAGGTGGTTAAAAAGATGGTCCAGAAATTTAAAATAATGCTTGATTTTGATTTGGAGATCTCAGGGGGATAGGTATCACTTTATGTGTGGTTTGTTTTGGACTTGGCTGATGAAACAAAGCAGCTGTAAGCCAACTTTATGTTCCCACTTAAACCAGACTTACAGCCACTTTGGGCCTCTGACATTGTGCAGAGAAATCTCTTCAACAGGAGCATTGACATTTATGAGGATTTACTCAGGTAGTTTTTATCAAGATCAATTTTGAGTGAAGGAACCTGTCATTCAGTTGTGTGCTACTACTGGGGAAATATTACTGGGATTGTTGTGATGATCGTTTAGGGCCCTGCCAATTGGAGAGTTTTATTAACAAGACTCAGTTTGGCACCAGTTGCTTACATAAGAATATGTTAAATTCATTGGGTATGGGTAGGTTCATCAATGACTGTTTTTACATAGCCATTCATTCCAGCTGCCTCTGTTTACCCGCAATCTATGTTTTCTGGTCCCTGCCTCTGGTGAATCACAGCCTGAGTTTCCTCCCCAGTTTTTCCTTTAGGGGATGCCTTGTTAAAAATGTGAGCTACATTTACTAGGTTTGGCAATCTTCAGAGGTTACCTGCCACACACACTTACACACCAGGATCTCTAAACATATAATCTTAGAGTGAGTAACAAATGGATACATCATTTTTATTTATTTAAAGTATTTCAGCTTGAATTTATAATATTGCATAATCCAACAATACAATACAATACAATACAATACAATACAATACAATACAATACAATGAAGTCACACAATTCATATAAAATATCAGTTGTATGTTCCATTGGTCCAATCATGCGAAGAATAAAAAAAATGCACCTATTGTGATATACATATGTATAGGTGCGTAAGAAAATGAGACAAAATGGATAACAAAAAAGACAATGATGGATGCATCTTCTCTCATGCACATCCATGCACAGGAATGTGCATGAACACTAAAGCCTTTGTGGGTTGCCATTTGTTATCCAGCCGATCAGGTTCTGGGTCCTGGAGGGAAGAGGGGAGGGTGCTGATGGTCTGTCCAAGTGGGACAGGAGCAGTTGGGTGATCCAAAAGAGGGCAGGGGAGCAGAGCCATTATTACAGATGATAGAGGTTTAAAAACTGCTTTTTCTTTGCCCCCGACTGATTATAGCAAACAAATGCAACAAACTGCTTTAACACACTGCACTTCTTCTTTTAAACAAATTTAGTTGGTGGGATTGCAGCTTGCACCTTCTCCTGGAGTTTCTTTGAAATGTAAAGGCAAGCAGGGAGGGCTAGAGATAAATTGCTGGGACTCAGGAGCAAGTCTGAGTCTGGTGGCCTGGGATTGGCCCTCAATAGTCAGGTGATTGGATGCCCAGGCTGGCTGATGCTGCAGCCTAGATGGCACTCTCCAAGCACAGGGTTTGGTGTTTCCTGGTTTGCAGAGAAGGAACAAAGCAGTGGTGTCACTGGAGCCCAGCCACAGACGGCATTGGCTCTGATGCTCCTCTGGGTGCCTTACAAGAAGTGTAAATTCAGCCTGGAAGTCAGAGACTGTGTTTGTTTGTTGGTTTGTTTAGAACATGTATAAACAGCTTGGTCAAAAAGTTATCCAAGTGGAATTGGGGGCAAAACACAGCTAAAATCCACTGTCCGTTTGCATCCACCATGTGTATGGATACTCTGATCTACACACCAGCAAATTAAAAAAAAAGTAGAATATAAAAATTCAGGACTAAAACTGCGCTGCACTAAAGGAAACTAAATCATTCTGAAATTTCAGCCCTCCCTAGTTGCCTTTACATTTCAAAGAAACTCCAGGAGAAGCTGCAAGCTGCAATCCCACCAGTTTAATTTGTTTTGAAGAAGAAGTGCAGCAGACTCATCCCTACAGAGGACAGAGGTTTAAAAACTGCTTTTTCTTTTCCCCAGACTGATTATAGCAAACAAATGCAACAAACTGCTTTAACACACTGCCTTTTTCTTTCTCTTTTGGTATGATTTTTAAAGGGTTTTTAGGTGCCTCCAAGAGTGAACTTTGGTCCAGTCCCTCTGCACACAGAAGCTTTCTTGGTGACGACCTGGTGACAGCCAAGATTTCAAGGACTGAAGATGACACAGAAAAAGTGACACTTCGGTTTGACAGCTTGACATCAGACCTTGCTAATCAGGATGTTTCTCATTTTCATGAAGTCAGTGGAACGGAGGTGGAAGCAACCTCAGAAGATGGAGGCCAGACACTTCCTGTTCTTGCTAGAAAGCCTGCAAGCCCCAGACAGTTCTTGGTTGGAGCCGTTTTGGATCCCCAAAGCAAAGCTCCCGTCACCAGCCAGTCCTTGTTTACCACAGGCATGCCAAAGTCTAAAGCAACATCCTTCAGTCCCCTGCTGGAACTGTTGGTAACACCCCTGTCTAGGGAAGAAGGAAAAGCGGAGGCAACATCTCAGGAGCTCAGCATGACTCTGAAACAGCCTGCCTCCAACTCCAGCAAGGTAGTAGTGATGGGTGTGATTGCAACTGTGCTGCCTGATTCAGAGCCCTCAGGAAGTGCTGGGCAGAGGGTAGAGTTGTCTATCAACCCTTCTGTAGTGGCAGCCACTACCTTTGCTTTCACTGAGAACAGAACAGACACTGAAGGATACCCTGCAGAAACCATGCAGACCCCTGCCAAGAAAGGGATGGATAAATTGTTAACATTGATCCCCAAAACTAGCCAATGGACCCAAGCTGAGCATCAACAAACCCAGTTGGATATGAGAACTTCAGTTGTTGGCAGCACTCCAGATCTCCTGGAGCAGACACAGAGTCCATCCCTTAAGGGGAGCTCCACAGTTCTCTTCCATCAGTCTTTTTCAGAAGAGAAAATGACAATCATTCCCAGGACAGAGTTGATGCAGCCTTCCTCCTCGGCTTCCTCTCCATATAGAGAGATGGTGTTGGAAGATGAAACCATTGAGTTTAGAATGGCTGAAAACCCTGCACGTCTAACTGCTTCTCAAAGTAACACCGTCTCTTCCTCATTGTTGTTGACTCCAAACACCCTCTCTTCAGAATCCCCACCACACTCTGCCAGGCCAAGGAACACCAGCCAAAGTGTTCTGCCCAAACTTCTCTTTGTGCCCCAGTTTTCCTTATTCAGTAAATCAGGAACATCTGATGAATCAGAGGAGCAACTTCAAGACGGCTTAATTTTGCACCACGAGACTGATCATCAGACAGCCTCCCAGACTTCCCATGTCAGGCTTTCTCAAGCTGTTGGTGAGCCAAGAAGAACGCAGGCTGCCCCTAGTCTGCAAGAAACCACTCTTGAAGGCTGGCCAAAGTCATCTCTCCCACTCCACTCCACTGCACAACCACTGGACATTCCTTTCCTGGTTGATGACAAGCCACAGGTAAGCATGCTTGGCATGCCTCAGCTAGCCCACCCAACATCAGCTCATGCTGGACCTACAATATCAAGCATGGGTATCTCTTCCACTGTTGCATCGCCATCAGACACTGTGTCTGCCCCTGTTGGTTACATTATGCAAAGCACATCCAAATCTCAACTGCCCAACACGTTTTCGACAGTCCATGGAGAGCGACCATCTCCCAGTGCTCTTGTTCCATCTCTTAGTGAGTCAGAATCATTGGAAACATCTGCTCTCACCAAGCCAGAAACTCATGGCACCCATGATGGGCAAAAGAGACCTGTTTCACTTGTTTCTCCTTCTTCTGCTGAACATGAGTCAGAACCATCAACTGTGGCTTCGGCTTCTGCCTTTCCACATGCTGGATTTAGCACATCAGTTGTGGCAGAGTCTTCCCAATCTGAGCCCAGGCAGTCAGTGTTGCCAACTCTTGTACCCAGTGAATCACAGAGAACAGCATCAGGCACATCTGTGCCATTCCAGGCTCAGCAGCAACTGCTAGGCAACTTTGCTTCTACTCATACTAGAGCAACAGCTTCAGGGTCACTTGTTCCTTTTCGTGTTGAACCAAATATGTCAGGTACATCTGCTGCTGCCCTGAATGTCCCAGGCACCACTTTCCTTGGCCATAGCTCTCAAAAACTGTCACCAAACACTTCTGTCTCTTTTTACACTAAGGCACCCTCCCTGCCTGCCCAATCATTGCAACCACAGAGCATCCATCCTCATGCTAGTGGTGAGCTGCAAATGGGTATCTCAGGCACGAATGTGCCATCACATGCCAAGTCGCAAATGCCTGCCTCTTTTATTGATGAGTCCCATCTTTCGGTCACATCTGCCCGTGTTGAGCCAGTGACAAATGAGGCATCATTGGAACAAGGATTGCCAGTCTCTGTTGATGCCAAACCACAGATAGCAGAGTCTTCTGCCTCTTCTCCCACTGAGTCACAATTGCTAGTGGTGTCTGCCCATGCCCCCATAGAACATGAGTTCTTGGATGCCTTGGGAAAATTGCGGGGCCTACCCCAAAATGAGAGTTACCCACCAAAACCACGTTCCTCTACCCCAGCCCAGCACCCTTCACTTGAAATGACCTTCCTTGGCCATCTCAAGTCAAGACTATCCAATGCCTCTGCCTTTGGCCATGCGTTATCCCTGTTAACAGAAGCACCAGCCTCTACAGGTGCTGAAACCCAGATGCCAAGTGGACTCACATTTGTCCATCCTGGTTTGCAACTTCAAGCTGCACCTGGTCTTCCCATGACTCCTCACACTGCTGAGAAAGTGAGTGAAGGAAAACACTCTCCACAAACCAGCCTTCCAACACCTCAGTCTGGCACTCAAGGGACAACTGTGCAGGATGTTTCTATCCCTGTCTCCTCAAGAAGTCCTCCTAGTTCAGATGGTCCACCTTCCCCTATCAGCCACCAAACCAAAACAAACATTCCCCTTCCACTGGCTCACAAGGTGGAGAAAAACATCACCAGCCTGAGGACAACACCAATGCTGGTGGTGGCTGGTGCTCAAGATCTCATGCAAAGCTCCTTGGGGTTCTTTCAACGCCTCAGTTGGCCAGATATTGGAAGTCTTGACTCTTTTGCCTCTAGTGGCATCCTGGGAATGTCTCCCTCCCTTCAGTATTTGTCCCACTTGGTTCAGAATGCTGAAAACATGGTGTGCCTACAGCCTATGCGAAACACCACCCCAACTTTGGGAGAACCAATTGCTAGTGGGCAGGAAATGCTGGTTCTGACTTCTGCCCTTGGCTTCTCCCATCCAGGGGTTTTGAGTCTGATACAAATGAGTCCATCCAGTGTCATTCTGGTTAAGCCTGTGTTTGTCTTCTTACCACCAGAGGCACCTAAAGGTCATGTGCTACTTCCTACTGAGGAAGAAGTGGGCCATGATGCTAGTCTTTCATTCACCAGCAAGGCTGCTCAAGCTTTGGTTACTCCTGGTAGTATCCAGGAGCGATTGGTGGGAATTGGTCCTCTTGTGTCCACCCTTAGACACTCCTCAAGGGCAAACACTCATTCTCCTAATTTGATGGATCATCTAGTCATTTCTGGGCCAGCCTCCAGTGCTTCCCCAAAGCATATAGGAGTCAGTCTGGTGAGATCCAACACTTCAACAGCCAATCCATTCCTCTATGGGTTGAGGGATCGTAGCACTAGGACAAAGCATGGACTGACCACAGACCACAATGAAGACTTTCAGTTGTCTGCTAGAAGGCTGGAAGAGGACAATCCAGTTTCATTATCTGCTGGAGTGCTTGTGAAGAACCATATCGCAGCTGCTCCACCAGTAATGGTGCCTATCCAGCAACAACCCAAAGCATTATCACTCACAACTGAACTGTTGAGCACCCTTGACAAGGCTTCCTCTCGGTCCTCCTTGACAGAACCCTCTGCCTCTCAGATGCCAACAAGCTCCCTTCAGGCTGCAAGTAACCCCCCACTGCTGAGCTCAACAGTAATGCTTCACACTGAAGAGCATCCATATGGTTCAGTGAGCCCCATTACCCACATCAGTAAGAACTCTGAAGAGTCCTTGAGTGCATCTTCAGCTAGGAACACGAAACTGCCATTAGAAGTGGGACAACATCTTGCACCTTCAAGCTCAGCATCACGCGGCTCCTTAATCAATGAACACTTTGGAAAGACTCCTTCTAAAGTTCATTATGCCCCCAACGCGGTGTCAACTTTTCCAACGTCCTCAACTGGAAAAGAGCACAAAGAAGCTGCAGCCTTAAATAACCCCTATGCAGAAGCATTTCTTGTGGCAAATGAAACATCTTCCTATCATACGAACACTACCTTCCACAAGCCTTCTGATTCCCATCACATCCCATCCAAGGCCCCCAGGACAGATGAGAGCCTGGAGACACCATCTTTGTCTTCTCTGTTCTCAGCAGATGCTCTGATGCAAATGACTCTGCCTGGAAAACATCCTGAGGACATCCTGAATCATCAGACACATTCTAGACCATCTGCCGATGTTCCTTCCCAGGTAACAACACATTCCTATTCTGCCAAATTGGTTACGGAATACAATCCAACCACTGTAACGCTCAGGGGAAGGGCCTCTCTTGCAAGTGCAGCAGAACAGCTGGAACCAATGCTGAGTGCTGTAGAAACCAAGACTTTGACAGATATTGAAACTTACAAGCAAACCAAAGCAACTAGCTTGATATCAACCATGCCTGGCACAGATTCTGGGCATTCATCTGCTTCACTGGTTGCCACAGATTTCAGATTAACCTCCTCCTCCCCATCATCATCATCGTCATCATCATACTATGCTGCAGGATCTGCAGATCATCAAAAGGAGGTCCATAAGTCACCTCTGCACCCTGTCCATTCATTTGCACCAAATTCTACTCTTAAAGATGTGACTCCGTCACTTGTGGGTGAAGAAGCACTGATTTTGGAAACACTGCGGACTGACTCCTACAGGCTACAGCCTAGTGTAGGTGGAACAACTGAAATGGTAGTTTCCTCACCATCAGCAAGCAAGGGCAGGTTTCTTAAACACAGGAGAAACAAGAATACTGGGACTGGAGATCAGTTCCTGGTTGCATCTCACTTGCAACCTCAGCCAGCAAGTTTAGAAGCTGACTACCCTGAAAGGCCCAGGTTGGCAGGTGATGAACAGGGACAGGAGGAGGAGGCTGCTTCTTCCTTGCCAGTCTCCTCAGTGTTTTCTACAGCTCTTAATGCACCAGCATTTCTAATGACCACCTTATTTCCCAGCATTGCTGCTGATGGACTTGTTGGTAGTCTTCTAAACCAGGCATCCCATTTGCAAAGTCTTCCACCGGGTGTCTCTGAGATATTCCTAAGTTCTGCAGCTCAAGTCCAACCGACCCCGGGGAGCCTTTCAGATACACCTGGTATGAAGGCTGGTGGAGACTTTTCTGCAGATGCTACCAGCACCAGTAGAGGATTTAATTCACACACCTCTGAAGAGCAAGTTCCCATCACAAGTGATTCTACTGGAGGAGGAGGAAGAGAAGACTCAGTAGCTGATTTGCCACCATGGGACCCCAATTTGACTCTGTCAGATTGGACAGCACACCACCAGAGAGTGATGCGCTCAGATGATGTTTTCATGGATGGGTAACTATTTGGAGCTGGGGCTATTGGAAGCCTTCCCCTTCCTCCAAATATTTATGGACTGCAGCCATTGTAGTCCAGAACATTTAGTAGTCCATGGGACTTGTAGTCTAGAACATTTAGAGGGCACCAAGGTGGGTAAGGATAGCCTCAAGTGAGAGGCAGTCATTTCAATGCTGTAGGACATGCAAAATTAAGATTATTTATGAATCAGGACAGCTTTCTGTTAAGTGAGCTGTTCGGTGCTTAGGATCAGGAACTGAGGCCTTGCTTTGGATGGCCTCACTTGTGGAAGCAAGGTGAGTGGTGACTGGGCAGGGGGCCTTGCTTAGCGAATACTGCCTCTGGACAAGGCATCTACAAGCTCCCTTCAGATATCATAAACTGTAAAGAACCCCCCACTGCTCCAGTGAGGGTTTAAAACCATTCTACACAGGGATGCGGGTGGCGCTGTGGTCTAAACCACTGAGCCTCTTGGGCTTGCCGGTCAGAAGGTCGGCGGTTTGAATCCCCACGACAGAGTGAGCTCCCGTTGCTCTGTCCCAGCTCCTGCCAACCTAGCAGTTCGAAAGCACACCAGTGCAAGTAGATAAATAGGTATGGCTGTGGCAGGAAGGTAAACAGCATTTCCGTGTGCTCTGGTTTCTGTCATGGTGTTCCATTGCGCCAGAAGCGGTTTAGTCTTGCTGGCCACATGACCCAGAGAACTGTCTGTGAACAAATGCTGGCTGCCTCGGCCTGAAAGCGAGATGAGTGTCACAACCCCATAGTCGCCTTTGACTGGATGTAACCATCCAGGGGTCCTTTACCTTTTTTTACCTTACTTTTTATAACTGTTCAAATGATGGATCTTCAACTGCCAGGACTGCAGTTTATTTCATTTTCACAATATACTGATAGCTTTTCTGTTTCATTCCTGAGACCTCCCCACACCCCAAATGGCTGTAATAGCAGAATTTTACAAGTGGCAACTGCAACAAAATGTGGCAGTGTGTCCTCCTCACCCATTAACAGGATGCCTCTGTTCAAAATGCCAGACAACCATGTCCTCAGGGCTATTTCATTCCATGCTCACTTGATTTTCTATTTTCTTTTCCATGTGCAACATTCCTCGGCGATTGAGCATATTCGCTTCTCATTAGCCCCCACCCACCCGCCGTGCTTCCTTAGATTATTTTTTCATTTAAGATTATTGTTTTTGCTCTTTTTATTTATTTATTCATTTTGCAAAGCGGATGTTGTAATACTGAGCTATGCTCTTTCCCCAGATATTTCCTCCTCCCCCTTCATATGCATATAACCTGCTTTTTTATTATTATTAACAGCCTAACCAAAGAGTGGTAACTAACAATGTTCTGCCGCCGTTTTCAGTTTACAAAAGCAGAGTGTTGGTGCAGTTGGGCTGTGGAGGCGTATTCCCTTTTGCAATTCTTTTTGGTGGTTTTTTTGTCCTTTTGAAATTCAGCAGGGAGATTGAATATCTGTGGTTGCTCATAATAAATTAGGGCATCTTTCAGAGCCTCACGGAAAGACCAGCAGATTTATTGTTTCATCAACTTTCATGGACTAACATCCCCTTTATCAGATGCAGGAAGGATTGTTGTTACTTCGGAGGCATATATGTATTATATAGTGAGATGTTAAAGGAGAACAATTGGGCTTTGGAAGGGATATTTGTAGTTTAGCCTCCATTTGGGGGGATAATCCCCACCTCCTTCCCCACTCGCACTCCCTCTCTCTTTCTCTCCACTCAGCTTTGCGGTTGTGTTTGACGATGCCTGTGGCTCTGGCAACTACACTGCGGAGATGAGCCTACAGACTGTAGCCATGGGCAAGACTCCATCTCTCCCTAACAGTTTCCTGGCCCAGATCGTTCTACAGGACAACAGAAGCCGCCCGACTCTGAGCGTCAAGTCGTGCTGCGTTACTCCCACCGCCAGGCCTGTGGGTCCAGAGGCTGCCTGCTGCCTTTTCCCCAGGTCAGGTGGGGAAGCAACTTGAGGCTGAAGGATGCTTGGTGTGAGGCGGGAAATGGATGCTCCAGAACCTACCTTTGTCTGGGGCATCAGGGACTGTAGAAAGGGATGCTGTCTGGCGTCTTGGTGGTGGTGGGGAGTGCATGGATTTGGCCTTAGATATTCAGCATGTAATTGACAGCCATATAGGGATGCGGGTGGCGCTGTGGTCTAAACCACTGAGCCTCTTGGGCTTGCCGGTCAGAAGGTCAGCGGTTCGAATCCCCGCGATGGGTGAGCTCTGTCCCAGCTCCTGCCAACTTAGCAGTTCGAAAGCACGCCAGTGCAAGTAGATAAATAGGTACTGCTGCGATGGGAAGGTAAACAATGTTTCCATGTGCTCTGGTTTCTGTCACGGTGTTTCGTTGTGCCAGAAGTGGTTTAGTCATGCTGGCCACATGACCCGGAAAGCTGTCTGTGGACAAACGTCGGATTTCTTGGCCTGAAAGTAAGATGAGCACGGCAACCCGATAGTTGCCTTTGACTGGACTTTACTGTCCAGGGGCCCTTTACCTTTACCTGGACAGCCATATCTGAGTTCAGGAGGGCATTGTTCCCATGTCAAATTGGTTAGAGGCCCAGGAGGAGGAGGACTTTTCACTTTTCCTTGTTTATGCTTGGCCTGGCCTGATTGTTGCACCACCACCACCACAAACACATTAGAAAAGCTCTGCAGGATCAGAAAGAAAATGAAAAGACTCCTTAAACCCAGTTTCATGTTTCTGACAGTGGCCAGACAGATGCTTCTGGGAAAAGGGAACAAGATGGACTTTCATTTATTTATTACATTTATGAGACGCCGTATAAAATTAAATCCTGTGAGAGTTGTACAAGATTAAATAAATAAATGAATGAAACATCATTATGATTATTGGTTGCACCAAAAACAAAAGGTCTCCCCTGTCTCCCTGTACAGTGGTACCTCGGGTTAAGTACTTAATTCATTCCAGAGGTCCGTTCTTAACCTGAAACTGTTCTTAACCTGAAGCACCACTTTAGCTAATGGGGCCTCCTGCTGCTGCCACGCCGCTGGAGCACAATTTCTGATCTTATCCTGAAGCAAAGTTCTTAACCTGAAGCACTATTTCTATGTTAGCAGAGTCTGTAACCTGAAGCGTATGTAACCTGAAGCGTATGTAACCCGAGGTACCACTGTACTGTTCTGAAGGTTCCCCAGGCACACATATCTCTAGCCAATTCAGGGGATACACAGGACAGGTTGGGAACGCCCTATTACACTACTGGAAGTCCTTGCATAGGTTTCTGCTAGGATGACTTGTTAATGCAGTTGAATCTGGTCCAGGGATATTATGGTGAACAGCAAGAGTGGGAAAATTGGGGGTGGGGTCAAAAGTTGCATAATGGATCAACCGTGCAATCCAGAAGTAAGTCCTATTGATTTTAGTGGGTCTTACTCCCAGGTAAGAGGGGTTGGGTTTGCACCATTAGGCTGTTATCTACATCCTTTGGTGCAACAGCCGTGAAATCCCCAGCCTCTTCCAACAGCTGATTTGTCTGCTGCAACCCTAACAGCTTATTCAGAACCTGTGTCAACTGTTAGCAAGAACCTCCCCCACCCACAATCCATAGGTGGTAAATGGTCATTTTGGCTGTTCGCCTGTATCTTTGTGCCAGATGCAAATCCATTTGCCCTTGGCCTCGACTACATGAGGACAAATTCATTAATTCATGGTGACTTTCCTTCACTGTCATTATCTGTATGTGAAGGCTTAGGGGTGGCTGGCCAGCAGGAAGGATCACTTCTGCCATGTTGTCAGCCGAAAGAGGATCAAGGGAATCACAGAGAACCCACACAACATCTGGATGAGTCTGCTTAGCAAAATCACCTTGACTTTTATTTTATTTTTTTAAGGAGGGATTTCTCCAGCCCTGGGCAAACACTCTATTCCATAATGCAATAAGACCCCATTGGCAGTGACCCCACTGACTGCTGAAAGAGCATGGCTGTTCAGATCCGGTCAGGTGCCACATCAGCAAATTGTAGGAATATCACAAGTTACAAACTCAGAACCAACCATCTATGTAATCCAGACAGCTGTCAAAGGTATAAGGTAAAGGTAAAGGGACCCCTGACCATTAGGTCCAGTCGTGGCCGACTCTGGGGTTGCTCGCTTTATTGGCCGAGGGAGCCGGCGTACAGCTTCCGGGTCATGTGGCCAGCATGACTAAGCCGCTTCTGGCAAACCAGAGCAGCGCACGGAAACGCCGTTTGCCTTCCCGCCGGAGCGGTACCTATTTATCTACTTGCACTTTGAGGTGCTTTCAAACTGCTAGGTTGGCAGGAGCAGGGACCAAGGAATGGGAGCTGACCCTGTCGCGGGGATTCGAACCACTGACCTTCTGATCAGCAAGTCCTAGGCTCTGTGGTTTAACCCACAGCGCCACCCGCGAATATGGGGTTTTCATTCCTCAGCTAATAACAGATATTGAGAGATTTGTCATCCGAAAATCTATCTCATTCTCCCACCACCACCCTTAAATTCAGCAGCATCTGGGCCCATCACAGCATGTCCAGAGTTTGAATTCCTTGTTCAGTTAAGGATTCTCAACACTTTGTGAATTTACAGTCTGCTGATTTGGTGCATATTGAGCCGCTATGCAGGTGATTTTCTCTCTCTCTCTCAACTAGATCACTGAGGGAATGCACACATATTCAAGTGCTCCAGAACAGCAAATCCCAAACAGCCAACTTCACCATCCAACTTTTTCAGATGGTGAGCCACACTGTGGCTTATCTGCACTGTGAACTCAGTGTCTGCCTGAGTGACGACGTTGGATGTGAACAGGTGAGCTCTGTTAGAAGACAGAGAACCAAAGGGTGCCGCTAGAGTCTCTCAAGAGGTGTAAGGGTAGAAAATAGAAGCACTGTGTAATTTACCCCTCTTTTAGTTAGTTGGCAAGGGTGCAAGCTAAGGCATCTCTCTGAGCTGAGCTGCCTTAGTAGCAGCTCAGGTTTAGCAAATATTCTCTAAGCAGCTGATGTCTACGCAGTTGTTATGCTACCTAGCAGCCAAGTTTTAGCAATGATCATTTTAAACAATTAAGAAAAAAGAAGGTGCTGAGATTCTGTAAGCAGGTGTGTGAGTGTGTGGGAAGAAGCTAGCCTACTGTACAAAGGTAACATTTGCATTTTCTGCTTCACTCACTTCCGGCCCTCACCTCACACATCCCCACTGACATGTGACCCTTGGGAGGTTGCCCAGAAAAGAATAGGGTACCTCTGAGCATATCCAGAATGCCTCTCCTTCCAAAAGTCTCCAGGATTTGGGGAACAAAGGGAAGACACTTTTAGACATGACATCCAAACCAAATTATCAGGGCGGTAATTACCCCCCTGACTTATTTTCTTGCTTTATTTAATGTGTTATGTTTCTCCCCTTCCTCTCTTCTCCAGTTGCTGTTCTGTAACCAACTCCTGCCACAGACTGCCATTCTAGAAACCAAAAAAGCTGTGGATAAAAATAAAGCCTTTTGCTGAACCTTGCATTTCTGCAGAGGAGAATTTAGGGGAGCATGACCAGTTTGGTCACCCAGGGTGTGGACTCTCAGGAGTGCCGCAGGGCATAGGAGCCAATTCTTAGGAGTTGTGGGGGCTTCAGCCCCCCACAATAAAATATTTGAGGGGGCCGGGTCCCCACAAAGATAATGGACATTCCCATTCAAATAGTGTGTCTGTGCACTACATCATGTGATCAACTATGTGCAGCAGGGATTACCTGGACCCCTACAATATTTTATTCAGGGCTGCAGGGGAAGCCACAACTATTATTTAGAATGTAGCCTGAGAGGCGGGGGGTGCTGAATTATGGCATTGCACAGGGCACTGCTGAAATATGAGGCCCCAAGGTCCCCTACTGCACTCTGAGCCTTAATGGTGGTTCTTTCCCCTTTCCAATTTGTGTGGGTGTTTTAATGTTGTGCTTTCAAGGGATAAATAATGTGATAATAATAAACTGAGCTGCAGCCTCCACGTTGAATAATCCTTCCATTTCCTTCCCAGAGCTGCTTAAGTACCCTCTCCAAGCCAAGCAGCAGGGACAGTTACCAAACCCGCCACAACATAATCTCCTTCGGACCGGTTCCAAAGACCCAGGTAGAGTTTGCACCTGGACCAGTTACAGGTGTGTGTGTGTGTGTGGCCTGTGTTCTTCATTCTTCCCCTTGCCTCAAGGTTTCCAGGTAGCAACTAGAGAGTTGCACAAGTCTAGCAGCTAGAGCCTTCTGCTGCCAAGGTGTTTTGGACCACAACTTCCATCACAGCCCTAGTCAGCACATCCCTTTGCTGCTGGGACATATCATAGAATTACAGAGTTGGAAGGGACCATGAGGATCATTTAGTCCAACCCTCTGCAATACAAGAATCTTTAGCCCAACGTGGGGCTTGAACCCACAGCCCTGAGATTGTGGGTCTTATGCTCTACCAACTGAGCTATCCAACTAGTGGTCTGATGGGAGTTGCAGTCCAACATACCTGGTGAGTGCCAAGTGGAGGAAGGCTGAATTTGCTCCTTGGATCTGGGTAATGGATTTAAGTCTAACTTCTGCCATGAGTTTGGTGGATAACTTTGAGCAAATAATTCTCCCACAGCTGTCTACCTGTGAAACTCTTGCAAGGTTGCTGGGATGTGCAGAGAGATGTGCAATGCATTCTTGAAGCAGGGGAGAGAAAAGACATTCCCTATGAATGATAAATATGAGCAGTATACTAGCTGCTGGCTTTTCCTAGGGTTGCAACAAGGTCATCAGAAAAGGAGTGCTTGAAGGGACATCATCACAGATTGAGAAGCGGGGATTAAAATTAGGTTTGCTTATCCAGCTAATCCCCTCACCTTTGCACCCCTGCTGTGGGCGAGAGGAAAGGACAGGCAGCCTTAGGCTGGGTTCTTTTGTTCCAGCTCCACATTTCTTATGGCTTGATCCCATGCATATTTCAGCAAAAGTGAGCCCTGCAGGATTTGAGTTCTACTATCTTGGGGATGATGGGTCTGATTTCTAAGCATGGCCTTCTCTTCTGCCAGCATTCAAGGACTGACACGCACACAAATGAGTGAACGTTGGGGGGGGGGGGAAGGACATGCATTCACAAACACATGCACACAAACATGCACACAAACCCCACACACTCAGGGGGTGGCTGGTGCCCATTAGGAGTGATGGGGTAGAGAGCAATGTTCTTGATCCCTCTTGATCCTTTTCTGCTGCAGAATATTTTTTACATGCCACCACAATTTCTGAGTGGCAAGTTCAGGGTTTGGTTTCCTTGGAATGAAGGTCAGCAGAGAATATGGTGTCTTTGGGATACAGTCGTACCTCGGAAGTTGAACGGAATCCGTTCCAGAAGTCCGTTCGACTTCCAAAATGTTTGGAAACCAAGGCGCGGCTTCTGCAGGAAGCTCCTGCAGCCAATTGGAAGCTGCAGAAGCCCCGTCGGATGTTCGGCTTCCAAAAGAACGTTTGCAAACTGGAGCACTCAATTCTGGATTTGCGGAGTTTGGGAGCCAAAACATTCGAGGTGCAAGGCGTTCGTCAGCAAAGGTACGACTGTACAGTGGTACCTCGGGTTAAGAAATTAATTCGTTCTGGAGGTCCGTTCTTAACCTGAAACAGTTCTTAACCTGAAGCACCACTTTAGCTAATGGGGCCTCCCACTGCTGCCACACTATTGGTGTGCGATTTCTTTTCTCATCCTGAAACAAAGTTCTTAACCCAAGGCACTATTTCTGGGTTAGCGGAGTCTGTAACCTGAAGCATCTGTAACCCGAGGTACCACTGTATATGGTTTTATTTACACATGTATGTCACCTGAGCATAGGTTGGAGGTGCTCACAGCAACAACACCCCAACAGATCTTGCTTGCCCCCAGGTTCCCAGGGGAGCTGCTGCACAGAGCAAAACATGCCTCAGTGTCTCCATCTTACACTCACCAACTCTATTGTTTTCCTATGTTGCAGCTCAGTGAGGGCGGTGGGGGAAAGCCAGCCCATTAGGCTGGAGAGCACCATTGCTGTTGTTGCAGCTCTTGCAACATCTTTGAGATGCTGATGAAGGCAAAATGGCCATTACCTTAACACAGGGACTGATTGGGCAGGTTCTGCAGCCTCTTCAACTAGATTCTAACTCTTACTGGATTGTAGGCCTGGAAGGGATTCAAGGATATCATCCAGGCTGACCCCACAAAACCCATAAATATCTCCTCGTGCTGGCCAAGTGTCCAGGATTTCAGCTTCTCCATCACATGGGCTCCTGGATTACCACTGCCAGTCCTGCATCTTGGGTTGGACATTTGCACAGTGCTGGTGGCACTTTGTTCTCACCTGTGGGGAATTTTAAATTTACATGTCTGCAATAGGAAAGAATTACTACCACGTTGCAACATTGGCCAATCCCACCCAACTCTCGTTCCATTTATCTTTCCAGGATCTGACATGACCATGATGCTCCCTGCTCTTCTAGGCTTATCGACTGGCATTGTTGTCTTAACGTCTGTCGTCGTACTTCTCTGGTTGTATCAGAAGCGCCAAATCAAAATGGCAGCAGCCTTGGAGCCCCAAAGAATGGAAGCTCCTTGAAGCCCTCAGTGCTAGCTGCTGCCAGTAGCTATGCCATGATTTGATGCTGCTGCTGCTGCCGCCAGTGTAAATTGGGAACACACTGCTGCTTGCTTTTTAAGTCTCTGCTTCTCTCTCTCCCTTCCTTCTTCATGAGAGAACCTAAGAACTGCAGAGGTGTCACTGGAGTGGGCGGCACATTCTGAAAGAGAGAAAAGGCTTGGCTTGAAAAGGTTTTGATGGGCTAATGGACCCCATGTGAGTTGTGTCTCCACCTTGGAGACTGGAAGTTCAGAAGCCAAGGTTGCGAAGAAAGAGGGGCTCTTCTTTAGAGCCAAGTTGGCAGCGTTGATCCTAAATAATTTGGGAGTAGAAATGCCCAAGAGTTGACATGGGTCAGGAATCTTCCTCCTGAAAGGAGATTGTTGGGTTTCACGGTTATTATCTCCTGGGATTTAACTGCCGCATCCCTGTTTTTTCCATGCTCTACTGTGTTAGCAATATTTGCTGCAGCATTACAACTACTGGCTTAACGTTCAGACGATACTGGTCAGGCACCTTGGCTTGCATTCATGTGGAAGGAATTTGTCCAAGTCAAGAAAGAGGTCACAGATCTGAAGGGAGGGGGAGGGAAATGAAAGGATAAGCAAACAGGTCCTTTGCGATCCATGGAAGTTAGAAGAGCTGAACCGAGACTTCTCCCTGGATAGTTCCCTGTTTATCAGCAGCAGTGCTGTCTAGACAGGACTAGGGGGGCAGCAGTAGTCCAGGGCTGGTGGGTCCCCCAACTGCAGCTGGGCTGACGTGCCTAATTTTAAAGGAAGTAAAGTATTGCATATTGACCAGGGGTGGGCATAAGACCACTCAAGTTCAGAGTTTAAAGTTTCTTAACTGCACCTCTGCTGTTGATTCTTTAGATATCCTTTAGCTGCTGTAAAAAATGACTAGTGGGTTCCTTGCATCTCTCCCACTACCCTGCCTTCCCAGTCATTTGCTTTCTGAATGTGATTAATGCCTTGATAGCTTGTGCATCAGTTTTAAGGGTTCCTTTGTCCTTCACCTCATCCACCTAGCCAGGCTGCTTAATCTGTTGACATAGAGAAAACTATGATTCCCAACTGATTTGGAGATTAGTGCTCCTTTGGCACTGACATCACAATGCCTGTTGATTCATTTTTCAGTTTGGTATTCTGCGCTCTAACATCATTTCGGGCTTTTTCTCTGCCTCGAAGGAAAAGGAGTATGATATTGTGAAGTGGGATTTGGGGCCAAGTTTGGGCAGATGGTTACTTCAAGCTGAAGTTCTAGTCACTAACTTGACTGACTTGATTCATAGAACCTGCTTTCTGTACTAGACCCTGGAAGCATATGAAATAATAAAGTATTCCTCTGAGCTTGTGCACAGTTCTCTTCCTTGCCGACAAAAAACTTTTTTTAACTTACCTACAACTGGGGGTGGGGAGGAATTTTCAGGACAAAGAACATCCAGATGTTGGAATTTGGCAGCTCTCAGTTCTGTAATTAAGCTCTGTGTCTGATAGATCAGAGAGAGAGAGAGAGAGAGTGCGAGAGAGAGGGAGGGAGAGGGAGAGAAAGTGTGCAATTAAGTGAAATTAATTCCCTTTCTCACTGCTGGTCAGATTATGAAGCAACTTGAGCCACTGACCAGCAGGACTCATAAAAGTTTAATTACTTGTTGGGATGTTTCTGCAGGGTTGAGCTGTTTGGGATGGGTTGGGGATTTTCCCTTCTTATGTAACTTCATAAACCACACCATTCCATTCCTGAGTGAAGGAGTTAAGCAGGAGACATTTGAGAATCAGGTGTGCCATGTGATCACCCTGGGACTTCCCAGACACTGCACACTAGTGGTGACATAGGTTTCTATGTGTTTGTGGAGTTTCTGCCTAACATCCCTACCAATGCTCCCTCAGGCAAGGTTTCCTCCTGAGAAAATGTGCACCGGATGATCATACCCTTTTGTAGTTATTTGTATATATGTAACACATTACCACCCTACTCTTCTACAAAGCAGGCAAACACAAGGCATCAAAATCAGTAACATCACTATTGAAGTACACATAACAACACATACAGTGATTCATTCATTTATTTAAAAACTTACAGTGTCAACGGAATGAAACAGTCAGAGACTGACTGAAATAGGATAAATGCAGAAAGAGCAGCCCCCTGCCCCACACTTGACATTTTATATTTATATTTATCCATCTCTATCAGGTTACACTTAGATATATTCCTCATTAGGAGAGACAACCTCTTAAACTCTTCATGCCCTGAAACTAGAATAAACTTGTTTCAGGATTTGATTTTACTTCTTCAACCCTATTTGACCCCCAAAAAGGCAACGCGGTGGCCATTATACTCCAACAAATCTAAACCATGGTTCGATCAGGAATGCCTCGCTATGAAGCGCTCTTTGTTGGGAAATACATCTCCATCAAAGCACAGTACAAGAATAAATAAACGGGAACAGATCTCTGCCCCAAGAAACATACAATTTAATTTTTGACTGTGAGGAGTAGAACAGACAAGAGAGGGTGAGAGAAGGATGGGTAAGAGCTTCTTCCAATGGCCTTGAGCACTTGTGGGTCTTCAGATGGGCCAAAATAGCTCACTTGAAGGCAGAAAAATCTCCCCACCCAGACAGGATTATCACACTGGAGAGGCCTCTGTGTGTGTACTGTACAGTGGTACCTCGGGTTAAGTACTTAATTCGTTCCGGAGGTCTGTACTTAACCTGAAACTGTTCTTAACCTGAAGCACCGCTTTAGCTAATGGGGACTCCTGCTGCTGCTGCACCGCTGGAGCATGATTTCTGTTCTCATCCTGAAGCAAAGTTCTTAACCTGAAGCACTATTTCTGGGTTAGCGGAATCTGTAACCTGAAGCGTATGTAACCTGAAGCGTATGTAACCCGAGGTACCACTGTATCTCTCTCTCTCCTCCTTGCTGTCTTACTTGTATAAGATCTGGTCTGTTTCGGAGGGCACTGCTGCCTGCTGCAAACTGTGGATCTTGTGACTTCATTAAGAGTCATGCCAAACAAATGCAATCAACACACACAGCTTTCTCTGCCCGCCCTTGGCAAGCCAGAACCAGGAAGTCAGTCCTCCCTGGGCTTTCCTTGTCTCATCAGATGCAGAGGAACAAGAGGCGGAGGCAGCTCTCCAGAGGAAGGCTCCTCCTGGCTTGTTCTTCTGGAAATGGACCGGCATTCGGGCAGCTTAACCATGTTCACCAAGGAAGATTTTGAGGACGATTGGCTCAAGGTGGCCAGTGGGGTTTTTGGCGAGGTCTTCCGAGTGAGGCACAAGCGATGGAGAACCACCTTTGCGGTGAAGTGCTCCTCTCGCCTTCCCCAGGATTCCAGACCTGACAGGTAATCTGCTTGGCTGTGCTAGGTGCTTTATTTGGAGAGGGTTCCCTTGGCAGATTTCTGTTTGAAAGGCTCTTTGGATGTGCTTAGCTCACACCTTGGCCAAAGCAAGAAAAACAGCATTCAGTGGGAGGCGAGTTGAGACTGGCCTGGTTTGCTTCAGGCCCACCTTGTCAAGTGCCTGAAGCTAATTCTCTTGGCAGCCTTTAGCATGTGTTGAGCTGCACCAACTGGTCAGGCAAGTTATTGAGCAGAATGTGAAGCCAGCTGAGAAGCAATATAAAAAAACTGTTGCATTGCACCCAGGCAAAACAAGACTAGATACTGCAATGGTTGCCTGTTCTGGTATGGAACTTCCAAACCAACCAACTGTCTTTAAAATATCCATTATGTAGATGGGCTCTGTCATTCACTGCTAAATTTACCCCAAAGTTTCCCTGTAATCCTTGTAATTAAGATTTCTTTTCTTCATTTTTTTGGGGGGGGGGCAGTCATGAAGCGCATGAACTTTTAAAAGGCATTTGAACACCCCTCACTCTTTGTGACCCTTTGCACTTTTGAAACCATTATTCAGCCGTACTTTAGCCAGAGATTTCCCGCCCTCTCCTTTCTCCCCTCTTGATCCATGGTATACTCTATAGCAGGGTTTCGCATACTTGGCTCTCCAATGGCTTTTGGACTACAATTCCCATCATCCCTGACCACTGGTTCTTCTGGCTAGGGATGATAGGAGTTGTAGTCCAAAAACAGCTGGAGACCCAAGTTTGGGAAACTCTGCCCTATAGGAAAACAAACCTTAAAGGCTAAAAAAAATAATGACACAGGTTTTGTGAACAATGGTCCACTCCAACAAGTGCATGGAGTGTTATTCTGAGGCAGGCATCCCCAAACTTGTCCCTCCAGATGTTTTGGGACTACAACTCCCATCATACAGGACCGCCTCTCCTGGTATGTCCCATGGAGGACCTTACGGTCTTCAAACAAAAACACCTTGGAGGTCCCAGGCCACAGAGAGATTAGGCTGGCCTCAACCAGAACCAGGGCTTTTTCGGCTGTGGATCCGATCTGGTGGAACGCTCTGTCACAAGAGACTAGGGCCCTATGGGACTTGACATCTTTCTGCAGGGCCTGCAGGACCTTTGGCCAAGGCACAGTCTGACCCCCTCCTTTGGTACTCCTCACAGAACTCTAGCCCAATGGTTGCCTTTAATTTAATTTTGAATTGATTTTAAAGTGAATTGATTTTAGAATGCTGTGTTACTTTATTGTTGTTAGCCGCTTTGAGCCCGGCTTTGGCTGGGGAGGGCGGGATATAAATATATTATTATTATTATTATTATTATTATTATTAGCTAACAGGACCAGTGGTCAGGGATGATGGGAACTGTAGTCACAAAACATCTGGAGGGCCGAGTTTGGGGGTGCCTGTTCTGAGGGCTCATCATACTTCCATTTGGTCTGTGACTTCTAGGTGGTCCAAGAGGTTTTTCTTTTTTCCTGCTGCTTTCCTTGGGAAAACCCACTATTTGCTGATGAATTGGAACAAACGTCAGCCTTGTTTTCTGTGGATTTTTCTGATTCAGAAGCAAACAGTGGGTTTTCCCAGGGAAAGCAGCAGGAAACCAGAGCCCATGCTTTGAAATCACAGAACAAGCGGAAGTGTGGTTGAGCCCTGAGTTGCAGCCATGTATATACAGTGGTACCTCGGGTTACATACGCTTCAGGTTACAGACTCCGCTAACCCAGAAATAGTGCTTCAGGTTAAGAACTTTGCTTCAGCATGAGAACAGAAATCGTGCTCCGGTGGCACCATTAGCTAAAGTGGTGCTTTAGGTTAAGAACAGTTTCAGGTTAAGTACGGCCCTCCGGAACGAATTAAGTACTTAACCTGAGGTACCACTGTATGATTGGAGGAACTATAAGCACTGAGGTCAGAAGGAAATGAAATGCAGCTGAACCAAGCACAGCCAGAGGTGCAGTACTGCCTCAGACTGCCTCAAGGCTCTCTGATGTCACAGAGGGGCTTGCAAGCCCATGGGCAAGCAGGTAGTGAACTTGCTTGTAGGAGTACCACTGCTATTGATGTGGTGAACACAATGCATATTGGTCAGATTCTTAGTGCAGTCCAGGTGTTCTCTCTGTGATGATGACTAAGCTGTGATGCGCTGTTCACACGCTTCTAAGTCATCTTGATGCTACCTTCAAGAAGGACTGGACATTGATTGCATGTGTAATTCCAAACTGGGAATGGAGTTTCCCCAGAATTTCAATGTTGGGTTTATCTGCACAGAATTTCAGTCATTTCCATGATGCCAGTTATTTTTTTATTGGTCTTTAAATACCTCAGCCTTATTTTCCAGTCAACAGGGTCATGGGGAGCCCATCATATGCATGCAAAGCAAAAAGCCTCCCAAAGTGCCAAAATTCTGATGTGCCTTTTCCATACCAAAGGTGGCAATCACATACCCTCAGCTCTTGAAGTGTTTAAAGCTAAACCCCTAGCACAGTTATATATGGGTCTCAGATTTGGAGAGGCACTCACCTTGGATCTACAGAAGCTGTTCAAAGTTCCTAAGGCGTTTTTTTTTTTCTTGTTCCATCCTGTGTTTAATTCCATCCTGTGTTTAATTCCATCCTGTGTTAACATTTAATTATTGGCTTCGCCTAAATTTAAACCCCACTGGTCTACTACCCTTAGTATCGCAAGATTGTCATGAGAGCACTTGGACCAAAATTGTCAACCAAAAGCTTTACTTTTCTGGTTTATCTTATCTATAGAATTTCAATCATTTCCATCTCACTCATTGAGCTAGATGAGATGCCAGTTGTTTTTTTATTGGTTCTTCTAAAAATATGAACAATTCTCATATACTCATTTTTTACATATACCATTTTGCTCCAGGTTTCCAGGTTACCAGTGCATAAGCATATACATGCAACAATGCATATAACTGTATAAAATTATAAAATAATGCCGCAAAACTGTAGTATAGCAAGGGACCTGACTATCTATCTATCTATATAAATTATGTGTGTGTGTGTATATATATATATATATATATATATATATATATATATGCATATATGTATATGCATGTATAATATATGACTTTTGTGTGAATAGTTTTGTATATAATTAGGATTTTTTTTAAAAAAATAATCAAATCCTGACACCAGAAGAGCCTGCTGAATCAGGCCAATGGCCAATGGCCCATCTCATCCAACACCCTATTCTTCCCATCACCACCTCTTGTGGGAGCGATTTCTAACTGTGTGCCGGAGTCCTTTCTTTTGTCTGCCCTGAGCCTTCCAACATTCAGTTTCATTGGATGTCTCCAAGTCCTAATATTATGAGAGAGGAAGAAAAATGTTCCACTCATGAGTGGCTTGGACATAAGTAGGCATTTGATGCCAAAGGTGATCCAATGAAGGCAAAGGCACAAAATTTAATGTATGCATCTATTTAAACTGGATTCTTCCTCAGTTTCTAACCCAGACTACACAAATCATTCATTGAAATGCTCACCGTGGCACCATCACCATCCTGTCTAAGCTTCATCACTTGGTACCATCTCAGCCAATCTTTTGCACTGACCTGCATCTACCACTGAAGTTAAAGTACACTAATGTGTTGTGCTGTTGTTGTAAAACTGAAACAACAGAGCTTGACAACATGGATCCGACCCAGCAGGCTCACCTTGTGTTCTTATTTGTGTCTTTCACTGTTTTGAGACCAAAACTTAGCAGTAATGCTCCACATTACCCCCCTGTAGAACCAGCACAAAGCATCTCGTTGAAGAGGCAGCCAAGATAGAGAAAATCAAGTTCCAGCACATTGTGTCCATCTATGGTATCTGTTACAGCCCTTTGGGGATTGTGATGGAATATATGGCCAATGGGTCCCTGGAGAAGATTCTCCCCACCCACCAAATGTCTTGGCAACTCAAGTTCCGGATCATCCATGAGACGAGCTTGGCTGTGAACTTCTTGCACAGTCTGAAGCCTCCTTTGCTTCACCTGGACCTAAAGCCAGGAAACATCCTACTGGATGCAAACATGCATGTGAAGGTGAGGTCAAACTGGGGAGCAGGATTCAGGTAAAGGTAAAAGGTAAAACACCGCTGGATGGTTAAGTCCAGTCAAAGGTGACTATGGAGTGCGGTGCTCATCTCGCTTCAGGCCGAGAGAGCCAGCAATTGTTCACAGCATGGCCAGCATGACTAAACTGCTTCTGGCGCAACGGTACACAATGACAAGTGCCACAGTGCACAGAAATGCCATTTACTTTCCCGCCGCAGCGGTACCTATTTATCTACTTGCACTGGCGTGCTTTTGAACTGCTAGGTTGGCAGCAGCTGGGACAAAGCAATGGGAGCTCACCCCGTTGCAGGGATTCGAACTGCCAACCTTTTGATCGGCAAGCCCAAGACGCTCAGTGGTTTAGACCACAGTGCCACCTGTGTCCCTGGGGAGCAGGATGTGTGTGTGTGTGTGTGTGTGTGTGTGTGTGTATGTGATAGCTCAGTCCTGCATGTATGATGCAGCTTTGCTTGTAGAAAGTCCCAGGTTCTGTCTCTAACATATCCAGTTACAAGTTTCAAGGATGGGAAAGATCAGGGCTGATGCCAACGGTTGGCGTGATTGGGCACCTACTGAGGGCCCAGATCCTGGAACGCAGTCCAATGACAAGAGCCCCCAGGACCTGCTCCTCCTCTTATTCACTGCAGCGCTGCTTATTTATCTGCCTCTTGTTCTGGCCAGAGGATGTTGAAAAATTAAAACATCTGTGAATTTGTGGTTTTTGGCTCCAGTTATAATTAAAGTAAATTTTATATAACATCCATCTACCCACACCAACAAACTCTCACACAAATACAAAAAGCAGCCCATGCCCAGAAATAAGGAGACAAATGAAGTTACATCAGTGGTAGGCATGGAAGTGAAAAATGTACTTTTATTTCACCTTGACTTCAGATTTCAGATTTTGGACTCTGCAAGTGGATGGAGGAATCAAGTCTAATGGAATATATTGAGAGGTCAGCCCAGAGGGGTAGTTTGAGCTATATCCCTCCTGAGATACTTCTGCAGAGCCCCAGTCCACCAGGAACTAAATTTGATGTCTACAGGTGAGGACCAACCTGCTGTCTCTTTGAGTTGCTGGCTATCCATTCTCTGGTGGAGTTGACTTACCTTCTGACCACTGTTGAGTCTTGCTTGCCACTTCTCAGCTTGCAGTCTGCGCCCAACCCAATCATTAGGCAGAATGAGGAGGATGCTTAAGGTAACAGATGCTGAGGCACTTGGAGCAGGAAAAGTTCAGGTATACCATTGAGTATACTCATTACCTGTGTTAAAGTAACAACATCCAACTGCAGTTTGGTTGGTTTCCATACATGGAAAGGGGGAAGGAGCCATTTTGTCTTTTCTTTCAGGCTGCAAACTATATTTGGGCCCACCCTGTTGCTCCACATGACCATATTTCATAGCTTTCAAATCCCTGTTTTGTTTAAGCTCCATGTGTAACTATTTCCTCCTAATAATGCTTTGTGTTTTTGTTTGCATTTGTTTCATCTTCATTTGTTTCATTCTTTTTCAAGCTTTGGGATTGTCATCTGGGAGATTCTTACCCAGAAGAAGCCATATTCAGGTAATTCTGATGGGGTGAGGAGATGGAAATCACCTATTCTCCCAGGGTTCTCGTTTGCAGAATGCAGGTGAGGGATTGGAACAGAAATTTCAGTACAGGCTTCCAATAACTCCTTCTAGGACAGGGATGGTAAACCTGTGACTACTTCCATATGTTATTGTCTAGCCATGATGGACAACGGTCAAGGATGATGGGAGCTGGAGTCCCAACAGCATCATGATGGTCACAGGTTTCTCACCCATGCAAGAACAGTTACATATCCAGAGTTCACTTCTTCATAACCCTATGAGTGAATGGTGAATGTGTTGTTAATGGAGGAAATGCCTTTATTTTTATTTATTTAGAGCAAGTGGGATAGGCCCCAATGTTGCTCAATAATTCTAAGAACCACCCTCCTCCCCCAAAATCAGTGCAGTTTAGAAAGCTTCAGCCTGCCATCTTGATTCAAAATGGCATCTAATTTTATCCAAGCATAGGTGAAAACCTGCTCTTTGATCTCAGGAACCCAAAATTTGATTATATCTTAAGAGCTGTTGAAATGCATAGAGAACAAACTACTTCCCATAACATCTAGTAAATGCCTGGCTTTTTTTTATATCTGCTGAAATTTATATTGCTCTTGGTTTATTTATTTTAAGCAGTCTATGTTTTTAAAATAACATTTGAGCTACTTCTATATAAACCATCTAGCTGCTTCTTTCAAAATCTATTGTGTTTTTATGACAGGGAAGCCGCCCCATGTGAGCTATGCCTAAAAAGGCAGTCTTTCTATACATTAACAAAAATTAAAAACAACTAACTATCTGTTCCAACCCACCCACCCCCAACCCCAGATTTAAAGCCTCCTTTTCAGCTTGGGAAAAGCAAACGCCCAAAGTGAGTAACAACCAAATAAAGAGAATTTGCACAAAGGGAAATTAAAATAAAAACCATAAAAACAGCAGGAAGAAAACCGCAGCAAAGAAGCAGATGTAAAATGAAGTTAACACTTATAAACAGTGGGATAAAATCCTTTTGAATCAACCCAGCTTAAGCACCACTCTGTAAAGCTGGTTCAGATGTCTTGGTGGGAGGGCAGGGGGTATCTTGACTGGCTCAAGCTGAGGGATTCAACTTTATCTTTCTGGAGAGGATGTTTCTGAAGTGGACTACCACCAGAGAGGAGGCCCTTTTTGCCACTCACCACAAGAGATGGACATATCTGCGTGTTTGGGTTTCTCTCAGTTTCTCATTTTTGCCAGTATTAAATCTAGTGTGTCACAATGTCACATCAGCTGGTGATTTTTTATTATTTTTAAAGTCCTCACAAAACCTGTCAGCAATTTAGTGCTCATTTCTCCTAACATACATCCACAGTTTTCCCACGGAGGAAAAATATGTGACAGAAGGTGGTCCTTTTTCGTTTTCAACAGGGGTCAAGACAATGGCTGTCATCGTCACCGTGGCAACAGGCCAGCGCCCCTCCATGGAGCCCATCCGTGATGACTGGCCAGCGGAATGCCAGCAGATGGTTGACTTGATGAAGAGATGTTGGGACCAAGAGCCCCAGAGGAGACCAAGCTTCACAGGTCTGGTAGCTGAAAGGATTCCTCCTGAGAGCTGTTCCACATATGGGATCCCAGCTGGGCTTTTGACCTCATCCAGAGATCGCAGATCTTTGATCCATACAGCCCAAGGATAGGCAACCTGTGGGGATCGATCAGATGATACTGGGCTACTACAACTCCCATCATTCCTTGCCACTTGTCATGCTGGCTGTTGGGGCTGCTGGGAATTGGAGTCCAAAACTATCTAGAGGACCACAGGGATTCCAATCCTTGAAGTGAGAAGAGGTGTTCTATGGTTGCAGGATGGAATGCCTCTTGCAGTAGAGAATGCTACTTCTTAGATCAGGGATGGGGAACCTGTGGACCTCCAGATGTTCATAGAATCATAGAATCATAGAATCATAGAATCACAAGGGCCATCGAGTCCAACCCCCTGCCAAGCAGGAAACACCATCAGAGCACTCCTGACATATGGTTGTCAAGCCTCTGCTTAAAGACCTCCAAAGAAGGAGACTCCACCACACTCCTTGGCAGCAAATTCCACTGTCAAACAGCTCTTACTGTCAGGAAGTTCTTCCTAATGTTTAGGTGGAATCTTCTTTCTTGTAGTTTGGATCCATTGCTCCGTGTCCGCTTCCCTGGAGCAGCAGAAAACAACCTTTCTCCCTCCTCTATGTGACATCCTTTTATATATTTGAACATGGCTATCATATCACCCCTTAACCTCCTCTTCTCCAGGCTAAACATGCCCAGCTCCCTTAGCCGTTCCTCATAAGGCATCGTTTCCAGGCCTTTGACCATTTTGGTTGCCCTCCTCTGGACACGTTCCAGTTTGTCAGTGTCCTTCTTGAACTGTGGTGCCCAGAACTGGACACAGTACTCCAGGTGAGGTCTGACCAGAGCAGAATACAGTGGCAGAATACAGAATACAGATGTTGCTGGACTTCAACTTTCATCATCCCCAGTCATTGGCTTTGCTGGCTTCTGGGGCTGCTAAGAGTTGGAGTCCAACAATATACAAAGGGCTACATGCTCCTCATCCCTGATCTAGTCAGATGATGCCCAGTCTGAGAGGCAGCTCCTCCTCAGGCTCCCAGGCAAGCGTCTTTCCCATTACGTCCTACCTGAGATCCTTTACCTCTTGATGCCAGAGCTTGAACCTGAGACTTTCTGCATGAAAAGCAGGTTTTCTGCCATGAGTGACATCCTATAAGTGCTGCTGCCACAGAGAAGGCCCCATCTACTATATCTCTGGAACATGGACCACAGCTTCCCCAGAACATGTAGGATCTGGTCTCCACAACTAACTGGCATTTCAGCATTCTTAAGCTGCATGGGAAATGGAAGTGCAAGTCCTTGAAACGAGCTCATTCCCAATCTTTTCCACTTCCTTAGATGTGGTGGTGGAGACAGACATGCTATTGTCCCTAACCCAATGCCCCGTGGTGGACCTGGAGAATGAGCGCTTCTCCAGGAAGATGTCAGTGAAGCCTCCTTTCTCTAGAAGAGAACAGGTAAGGGGAAAGCTGTCCTGCTACCTTGGTCATTTTAGGCAGAGCATTTGCCCTAAATAGGAAGGGAATTCTCCATGTGTTGCATCTTAAGAAGGGTACAGAAGTAGGATCTGAAATGATGCAAAACATCTCAAGGTCAGTTGTGGGACTTGCTGTTCTGATGGGCTCTGCATATTTGTAGTTCTCCAGTAGAAATGATTCCTAGATAGATATAGATAGATTTTTCTTTATTTTCAAAAAGGCCATACAAGGTGAACAAAGAAATGAATGCCTTTGTGTAACAAGTGTGTAGCACACAAAGTGAAAATGAATATAAAACACAGCACAATCCAGTAAAGAGGCCTTTTAAAAGAGATATCATGACAGAATAGCACATGGCTCATGTTATTACATTGCTAACTGTCTCCATGCTCTTTTCCATGTCTTCAATACAAAGAGAAAGGGTACAAATGGATCCAGTCCCTTTCAGGAAGCACACAACAGTGGTGAGTATCTGCTTTTGTAGGATCTGAAACACATTTTGGAGTTCTGCAAAGTCCTACTGCTCAACATGTTCTGTTCCAAGCGGGATAAGGGAATCTGACCTTAGTGCATTGCACTGAATCTTGAGACAGCCTTTTCCCATCATTCCCCACTGCCCTGTTCCAGGTCTTGAGAGGTGTGGTGGCTAGCAGCAACTTCCAAATCATTTTGAGAGTTCTCGGTCTGAATAGAGGTTGGAAGTTAGGCTTACAAACAGGAATTAATTGGATCAGTTAAAGAAATTATCTCAATGACCTGTTAGTAACTAGAATGTAAGTAGCTGAAAACCTATTGAAACGCAATGAAGCAATGATATAAGAACCAGTTGGGACTTGAGTAAATCAAGTCCTAATCGATGGGTGTTTGTGTGTAATTCCAGCATCAATTTGGGGTCAGGCAGAAAACCACAGTTCACAAACCTATTCAGGGGTGAAAGTTCAGACTAGTGACCCATATGGAAAGGGGATAGAAGTGGTGACAGGGGGTAAGCTCAAACTGAGCAGCAGAATGCATTGCTTCTTGTTGCAACCTGCAGTATAATTCTGGTGGGAAAAAGAAATAAGCTTGGTGTCAGATATGAAAGTAAACATTACCATCAGTTGTACTGGAGATGTGGGTCACAATGCACAATTTGGACGACTTCACAGACTGACTGGATATGTGGGGGCAGCTGTGTTTCTAATGAAAATGACCAAGGGAAGGACTTCTTATTGCTGAACAATCCAGTAGTAGAGCTCTGTCTGCTTGAGAATGCAGAGAATGGCACAAGCAAATATTTACAGATCCTAGAATGCAAAATTAGTACCATATATGACAGAGATGGATCATGCCGTATATCAGAGCCATTAATTAATTAGAGTGTTGAACCTGGGAGACCAGGATTCAAATCCCCACTCTGCCATGAAACTCAAACTTGGGTGAACTTGGGCCAGTCACCATCTTTTCAGCCTATCTCACTGGGTTGTTGTGAGGATAAAATGGGGAGAGCAAGAACCATCCATGAAATTTTGAGCTCCTTGGAGGAAAGATGGGATATAAATTATTAAAATTAATAAATAGCTTGGCCACAGCAGTTGACAATAGTACTTCATAGATGGCATTGGGCCACATTTCAGCAGAACCAAAGCACCTGATATCACCAGATCTCATTGGTTATGTTCTCAGCCCATTTTAATTTTGTTTCAGCTGAGAATGAGAAGGATCAAGCCCACTGTTTCCCTCAGAATGAGGTTGAAAGCTTGGAAGCTCTGGTAATGTCAGAAGAAGTTAGCAAGAGCCATGAAGACACTCTTCACCTCATGGTTGCTTCAGGAAACCTGGAGAAGGTGAAATTCCTGTTGAGGCAGGGAGCTGATGTCAACAAGAGGATAGCCTGTGGCTACACACCCCTCATCCTGGCTGTCCAAAAGAGGTCTCTGGAGACCATCTTGCTCCTTATCCAACATGGTGCAGATGTCAACATGGCTGATGAGGACAACTGGTCACCTCTCCATTTTGTGGCTCAGAACGGAGACGACAGGATTGCACGTCTCCTACTCGATCACAAGGCCAACGTCGATACCCGAGAACTTGATGGGTGGACGCCCCTTCACTTGGCCTCTCAGAACAACTTTGAGAACGTGGTGCGGGTTCTCCTCTCACGCCAGGCTGATCCCAATGCTCAGGAGAATGAGGGACGGACTGCCTTGCACCTGGCAGCTTGTTATGGGCACATCAAGCTCGTTAAAATGCTGGCCAGCCAAGGCGCAGACCTGGAAAGGAAGCAGAGAAACCTCCGGACCCCTCTTCACCTTGCTGTGGAGAAAGGCAAATTCAGGGTGGTCCAGTACCTTCTGAAGAACGGTGTTGAAGTCAACAGCCTGGACCAGAATCACTACAGTGCTCTGCATATGGCTGTAGCAAAAGGGAAATACCTTATCTGTGAGAAGCTGATAAAATATGGAGCCATTGTGGACCTGAGGACAGACAAAGGATGGACGCCTTTGCACCTGGCTTCCATCGAAGGCTATGTGGACATCATCCACCTCCTGGTGGACAACCATGGTAAAGTGAATGCCAGAGGAAGCCTAGACTGGACTCCCCTTCACTTGGCAGCACGCTACAGTGAGGCGGCTGCAATTTCCGAGTTGCTAAGAAGCGGAGCGGACCCCAATGCAACTGAGAATTTGGGCTGGACTCCACTCCACCTGTCAGTACAGCGGGGGGCTTTTCTCAGCATCCTCAACCTCCTTGAGCACAAGGCAGATGTCAACATCAGGAACAAGGTGGGTTGGACGCCCACACACCTTGCGGTGCTCAAAGACAATGTGGCCATCGTAAAGACTTTGCTGGATGCTGGGGCACTGCTGGAGCTGGAGGACAATGCTGGGTGCACGCCGCTCCAACTTGCCATCAGGAATGAAAAGCAAAGCATTGTGGATTTGTTGCAAGGCATGGAGTCCTCAAAAGCCAGCCCAAGGAGCCAGGAGGGATGAAGGGAAGGCTCCAAGAAAACATCCAAACAAATCCGAGGTGGAACTGGATTGACCTCAGAGTTTGGGAGAGGGTCAGTACCAGCATGAGGAATTGAAGTGGGCAATAATTTCTCTGCTTCTGTGGATGTTCCCTCATAAGACACGCTTGAGTTTGTGCTATTGTCCTATTAGGCACTTTCAGGAAAGTTGGTTTGAGATGTGGCAAAAAAATGAGTCCATTTCATGGGAAAGATATAAGTGGTATCTAACTCCTCTTAAATGTTCACATCTGTCAGGCAGCTCAAAGTGCTGAAGAAGATGGATCATATTCAGTCAATTTCTACTAAGTGTAGACTTGCTGAAATTAATGAACCTAAATTAAACAGACCTATAACTTTCAGTGGGTCTGCTCAGAATAAGGCTAGAAGTGGTAGAAGCTAATATAAAGAGTTGGAAACGAAAGGTTCACCTAGACTTCCACTTGCCCACTGCTTTCTCCCAGGAAAACCTGATCTCTACAGCTGAAAGGAGCAAACATCAACTGGGGTTTCTGTGGATAGGTGTTTGTTCCGATTCAGCAGTAAAGAGGGAGTTTTCCTGGGGAAAGCAGTGGGACAAATGAAAAACTGCTCGGATCCCTGTTTTCTAGGCACAGGGCAAGCATAAGCGTGGATGACCCCTGACAGTGAAATCTTGGAAATGGAGTCACCCAACTGTAATTCTGTTTACGATCTTGAACAGAGTCTCCTGCCAGATGTGTGGGTGCTACAGATGATAAAAATAATGTACTACTTTTGAAAATGCTCTCTTCACACGCATTATTTCAGGGATCCGCATAATGACAGTAAGTCATTGTTATCCCCATCTTGCAGAGGAACAGACGTCTCTGCTTTACCCGGAGTCAGTTCATTGCTCCCACTAGCCCAGCACTGTACAGACTGAAGATCAATGGCTCTCCAAAGTGGGATTTAATTGGCTCCGGTATGCAGCCAGGAAGATTATGTGCGATGGAAATTTAATTGTAGGTGGGTTTTTTTGGTGAAGTTAGGCAATATGAAGTTTAATAGGGAGTTCGCTTGCTAACTTAAATAAAATAGAAGATGAAGACAAATAGTTTCCTTTCAGTCTAACTAACTTTATTAATGTGACCTTGTTCAGCCCAAGGACCAAAGCTGGGGAGGGGGGAACGTGCCAGTGGTGGGAGGGGCAAGAAGTGGGCGGAGAGACAGAGGGAAAAGTGGGCGGAGTAATGGAAAGGATTTTTACCTTTGCACAGCAGGCTGTAGTCCAGCCACACAAAATTCAGAGGTACTCACTTGAAGCTGTTCAGACAAGCAGGAGGCATCACCGCAGTACCAGGAAACATTTCTACCAAAGAAGGTGCCAAGCGTGATCAATAAGAGGGGTGGCTTGGAAAGCAGGGGTATGGCCTAGGGGGAATTCCAAGGGCCAGACAGAAATCTAGAGGGCCGAATTCCACACACCCCACACTCTTGAGGCCTAGGGTTACCCTTTTCAGATTGATACAAATGGTATACAGTGGAACCTTGGTTGTCAAATGCAATCTGTTCCAGAAGACGTTTGACTTCCAAAACATTCAACAATCAAGGTGCAATTGCCAGTCGGCAAAATCCATTGAAAAAATGGAGAAACATGCCTCAGAAGCCATTCGACTTCTGAGGGGCGTTCAAAAACGGAAGCATTCACTTCTGGGTTGTCAGCGTTCAAAAGCTGAAACGTTTGATTTTCGAAACATTCGGCAAATGAGATTCCACTGTACAGTCGTACCTTGGATCCCAAACACCTTGTGACTCACACATTTTGGCCCCTGAACACTGTTCCAGTTTGCGAATGTTCTTTGGAAGCCAAATATCCAATGTTGAGTGCAGGAAGCTCCTGCAGCCAATTGGAAGTCATGCCTTGGTTGTCAAATGTTTTTGGAAGTCGAATGGAATGGAATGGATTCCATTTGACAACCGTGGTATAACTGTATTACATTTTTACTCTGAAATTCTTTGCAAAGACCTCCCCCATTTCTTTTATGATTGCTTTCTCATTTCCTTTCCTTCTTTGCCACCTTTCTTTCTTTATCGTGATTCCTATTTCCATTTCCCTCTTCTTCTTTTCTGTCATTTCCTCCCCCTTCCCCTCCTGTTTTCTTCCTTTTCTCAGTTAAAAGAAATTCTGGGGAGGGATGTATTTTTTTTGGTGGGGGGAAGGTTAGGCCAGCTGCTTGGGCAGTAAGCTGGAGGATGTGAAACTTAGAGTAAGCTCTGCTCCGATGCCTCACAACCGTTTCTGGCTCTGCTATCTGAAATACTTTTAATTCGGGACACCTCAGATTGAGTCTGGGACCATCTACATGTGAAGTAAGTTATTCACCACAGGGTATAGCTTGGAGATGTCTGAAACTGAGAGGCAATGGAATGTTCCTTGCTTTCCCCTCTTCTCCTCTAGCATGGACATGAGAAGGCAGTCAGAAGTTTTCACATCCATTGTTGAATAATCATAGTTTCTAGTGTTTACCAAGGTTTATTGGTGCAAGGCAGGGTCATTATATATTTGATTAGTCAATAAGCTGCTTTTCAAGAGAAAGTGGCATAAAAATATCAAAAGTAAACAATCGTTAAAACAATGCAAAACAAAAAACTAAAACTTTTTATACACCCCAAATTCACAGGAAAAAGCAGGCTGGGGAAACAACAACCAGCCTAGCATAAAGCTAAACATAATATAAACAGTTCAAATAATTGCACCATTGTTGCTTAAATAATCAATCAATAAATGGAACAGGACAGGCAGCAAAATGAAGACAAGTTTTCAAAGTCTGTTGAAAAATACCAGTAGAAAAAGTTTGCCCAATATAATTGGAATTGAATTTATCAAATGTGAAGAGCTACCCTGTTCTGTTTGCTCAGCAATCTGAGCACCTAAGCAGAGGCTCTGCTGAAGATCATTAAAGTCTTCTTTGGCAATCACTCATAGCCGAGTAAGATTGTCTTCCATAAACACGGTCTTAACAGTGAGTCCGTAAGTGACTGTGGAGGCCAATTCTGGAGCCACATGTTCTTCCACAGTGGGGATATTGGTTTCTGGGCAGGAGTTGATTACAATGTGGATTTGCCAAGCGTGCCTTCCTCTTAGCACGTTTCTCCCTTGTGTCCAGGGTTCGAGTGTCTTCAAAGCCCATGACACCTTTGGTAAAAGCTGTTCTCCAACCGGAGCACTCGCAGGCCAGTGTTTCCCAGTTGTTGGTGCTTATACTACATTTTTATAGATTTGCCTTGAGACAGTCTTTAAACCTCTTTTGTTGACCACCAGTGTTATGCTTTCCATTTTTAAGTTCGGAATAGTTCGGAATAGAGTATTTACTTTAAACACAGCTGGAAGTTGGTTTGCTTCAGTAAACCATAGGTAGTATGCTAGCCACAAGCTATCCAGGTTTGGACACAAGAAACTGTGGTTAGTTGAAAACAGATACGAACCGTTCCAGTCTGCAATTCAGGGAGATGGGAGGAGAAAGCACATGAAGCTCATGCATGGAAGGCTAAACTATGTTACAGCTCAACGTTACAGGAGAACACAGCCAGCAGTTTGTCAAGAGCTAACTACAACTTTATGGCAGAGACAAGTTTTGAACCAGTCAAGGACTTCCTTGATTCAGGGTTTGTTCACAACATCTAGAGAGTACCACACTGGGAACCCCGATGTGGACATTATTGAGATAGATGAACCAACCTTCAGATTGGTTGTACAAATGCAAGACAGCATTTTTTTTCAGTGCTCTACTGTATGCTTAACTACTTGGCAAATTGGTTGTACAAATTACCCTGCCAAGTGGTGTGTGTAGAATTCCCATTTTCCCCGAAGAGTGATACAATCCTTTTGCCCCCCTGGTGATGATATGGATCACTGTCTTGCCTAGCATGGCATGACTGTGATTCACAGCTTCTGCCTCCTAATTTCAACCGGGGAGGAAAGAGTGAGCCTTTCCTTTAATTGTCTTAATTTTCAAACCCAAAGTGCTCCAACACTCCTGCTAGGCCTTAAGCTGTTTTGATGATGGTTAAGCTGTCAAAATCAAAATATTAAGCGACAATTTAATTGCCGATACATAGCCCACTCCCGGTGTGACTTGTGTGTGTATATCTGCTGGGGATATGAATTTTAAGAGTATTACTCTCGAACCTTCCCCTTCCTTGTTAAGCTTCTGCAAGCAAGCAGATGTACATTTTTTAAAACCTGCAAGCTGCGCCTCAGATTTAGTGCACAGCTCAATCTGCTGCGATCAGTCCTCTTTCCTTGAGGGGTCTGCATTTCCCACTGGGTGGGGAAATTTGCAGTGCTTTTCTTCCTCTTTAATCTCATTGGAACAGAACTCAGAAACTCAGAAAAGCGGATTAGGATAATTTTCATGTTTTGGCTACAATGGGGGGCTCCAGCACTGATCCATCAGAGTTCCCTAAGGCATGCTTAGTTGGGAACAAGCACCGTTGAACCTAGCAAATGTGTGTAGAATTAAGCAGCTTGGATGAAGTTTGTTGTGCGGAAATGCTACAGCTGCTTTTTGGAATGGGGAAGGAGGACTGGACAGTAGGTGGGCAAGATGGATAAGCTAGGCAAGGCATTCATGAAGGAGAAGCCTTTTGCTGGCTATTAGTCAAGATGGCTCTATGGGACCTCCACTAGCAGAAGAAGTCTACCATTGAATACCAATTGCTGGGCTGGGGGCAACACCAGGAGACAGCTCTCATCTACGTGCCCCTCTTGTGGGCCTCTCAGAATCATTTGCTGAGCTCCTCTGATGTTCTTAAGTATCATATGAGGACTTAAGTCTACCTTCGCCTTGTCAGAAGGGTGCACTGCCAAGTAGAGCCTGGCATTCTTATGCAAGAGAAGACTGTGTGACTCCTGTTGAAGTTGGGGTGCAACTCAGCTTACAGAAAGGGGTTTGCATAGGGTAAAAACTTAGAGCAAAGGACCTCCAGATCCCCAGACTAACCATGTATATTTGATGTCGCAGAGGAGGGCAACCAAGATGATCAAGGGTCTGGAAACTAAGCCTTACGATAAATGCTTGAAGGAGCTGGGTATGTTTACCCTGGAAAATATGGGTACATACTGAGAGGATCCATTAAAAAGCAACTGTACCAAAAAGGAATTACTGTGAAAATAAGAAATATTGGTGGGGGAGGCGATTTCATCCTTGCTCAGGACACCACATTACCAAAGTCCGCCCCTGGCCCTTTGAGACTGCCCCTCAGCTTTGCTGTTTCCAGAAGTGCTCTGAAGCAGTGGTCCTCAACTGGTCCAGACCCAAGGCTCACCTCTGACCCACTTCCATGTGATTTATGCTGTAATGCTAATGAGGCACATTAGTAATCCTAAAATGGCAATTCAAAGGGCAATATATACCTAGGGTTGCCTGAAGATTACTACTAAAACAACAACAACAACCCAGTTATTTTTACAGTTGTTCTTAGCCAAAAGGCTTAGAAGCTATTGAGAATCATTAGTACTTTTTATTAGGAAAAGACACATGGGTGGCAACGTCTGTGCAGCTGAGCTAAACCAATGCAGTGGACACTTCTGCATTCTAGTCCCCAGCAGAGCAGTTCTGGATGAAGTCTAGAAAGCCAGAGAAACAGACTTGAAAGTGAACAGAGGGTCCCTGCTCCATAGAGAGCTCTATCATCTTTCTTGAGAGAGAGAAAAAAGGCTCCTGCCTTTCTCCAGCCACTCATGGAAACTGAAGGAACGAGTGTGCCATCAGAAGAATGTGTTTTCGCCCAGAGAAACTGTATTCAACTGTATTGTTTGGTTTGGTGAGCCTTAGCTGGAATCCAAGACAGCAGCAATGGCTTTGCTGAGACTCACCATGGCCTTCTAACCCAGTGTCGGAATCCTGACCCACTGGCTGAAGACCTGTGCTCTAAGGCACCCAGCAAGTTGGCTAGGTACCAACCTTGTCGGTGGGAACTGCTGTGTCTTTGGAGACTCCCATTGCCTTATGGGTTCTTAGGGGTTCTGAAAAAACAGCCAAATGTCTCATGTTCTCATTTTTGCCTTCAAGATAACAAGAGCCTTGTCAAGTTCTGGAAGTATTAA